ACTACTACTACTACTACGACTACTACTACTACTACTACTACTACTACTACTACTACTACTACTACTACTACTACTACTACTACTACTACTACTACTACTACTACTTACTACTACTACTACTGCTGCTACTACTACTACTACTGCTGTTTCTGCTGCTGCTGCTACTACTACTACTACTACCACTACTACACTACTACTACTCTACTATCACTACCACTGCTACTACTATTACTACTACTACTACTAGTAGTAGTATAGTAGTAGTAGTAGTAGTAGTAGTAGTAGTACTACTACTACTACTAATAATAATATGAATAATCACATTAATATTACGAATCATCTGAGTACTACTACTACTACTACTACTACTACCACTACTACTACTACTACTACTACTACTACTACTACTACTACTACTACTACTACTACTACTACTACTACTACTATACTACTACTACTACTACTACTACGACTACTACTACTAATAATAATACTAACCATAATAATACTAATATTAATACTAATAGTAAATTCCAGACGAATGCAGAAGTACTAATAAACATATTAATGGTACTAATATAATAAGACGAGTAATAATAAGAAGAGCATATTGTCTTGGGGCCTCAACTAGGGTCTGGGGCCGCCGGGGCGATTCCAGCACCGCCACGACGCATGTGTGCACCCAGGACTTCGAGACTCTGTGCAGGTCCCCTGGTTTTGCGTCGCAGTTTCAGGGATGCGTCGTGGCGTCTCGTCGGGAGGTTTTCCGGAAACCAAAGCAGTGTGAGAGACCCGCGGGATGCTTGGTGGGGTCGTTGTATTGTCCGGGCGGTGTTGACATTCGCAATGTTCGCTGCTCACGCATGATAATCGAATGGCGTGCGGTTTATCCCCCTGTGGGCCATGATCACGATCCGTGTGCGAGGTGTACCGAAGTAGGCGGGATGGCGGGATGCGAACCTTGTCTTTGACGCCGTCCGTGGATGTTCTTGCAGGCCCCGATACGTGTGAGAAATGTCCCGAAGTGAGCGGGGCGGGGTGATGTTATGAAACTCCTCCCTGGTGCCGCAAAAGCATGTACTTGCGGGCCACGGTCCGCGTGACGGCTGTGCCACTGTGCGAACCTCGCTTCTGGTGACGTAATTAAGTGGGTCTCCATGTGGGACGCGATGCCTGCGAGGGGTGTGCCGGCATGGTCGGGGGACTCAGCCAAACCAGTCTGAGGGGCTCATGTCGAATTCCCTGAGGTTTACGATCCTTGTGTGTGTACATTTCCGGCTAGAACTTGAGCTCGCTGGAATTTAAGCGCGCGCGAAGCGCGCTTGGGTTCAAGTATCGTATACCAGGGTCCCCGGGGCCTGGGCCCCAGGCCCGCACACCCTCCCAGATTCCCCCCCTTCCCCTTTCGGCATCCGATATCAGGTTCCCTCAGGGGCCTCTTGGTTACCCCCCCAGCCGCTCAAATCGTTTCCGAGCACAACTTAGCGACCAGAGCGGCCCAACATGGCCCCAAGACGCCTCAAGATGGTTGAAGACGGCCGAAGAGCCCCCCAAAGCCCCCAAGATTCCCCGAGAAGGCTCCAATATCCTCCCCAAGAGGGCCCCGGGTGGCCGACATTGCGCCATTCTTGTTGGAAAACGTATATTTTCAGCATCTCCGCTTTCTAGGTTGAAACAACTTCTAAGACGGCCCACGAGGCCCCAGAGATCGCCCCAAGAAGGCCCAAGAGGCCCCCAAGAGAGCCCCAAAACGGCCCAAGAGAGCCCCAGGGCGGTCCGAGAGGCGCCCCAAACGGCTTCGGATGGCCCAAAGACGGGTCCACGAGGGGAAACTCCAACTCACATTTCGAGCGTTCCGCTCCAAATGGGCCCCCCTGACTGCCAGCCGGCCCCCAAGAGGCTCCCAAGAGGCCCAAAAGAGACCTCAAGTAAAACAGCCCCCCAGTGGCCCCCAGAGGCTTCAAAACTGGCTCCAAGAGGCGCCCGAGAAGCATGTCAAGAGACCCCAACAGGTACGCATCCAAGAAGCCCCTGGGCTCCTGACCCACAGTCCAGGCACGGTGGGGATATGAGCCCACGGCCAGTAGATAAGCAAACCATGAGCCAGGCGAAGGGCGCTGACGCCGCAGGTGGAACTCCCTGTGGGGTACGACCCGAATGAGGCATGTGCCGAAATGGGCGGGGGGACGCCATGCGAAGTTGCCCATTTGGTTCCATAGGTGGAGCTCTTTCTGGTGCACGATTCGCGTGAGGGGCGTCCCGAAATGGGCCTGAACATGCTGTGCGAACCTTGTCTCTGGAGCTGTGGGTGGTGCTCCCTGTGGAGCGCGATCCGCGTGAGGGGCGTGCTCAATGGGCGGATTGGGGGACCTTCGTGTGTACTGGGGGCCTACGTTTTTTTTGGAAGGAAGGTTAGACCTACGGGTGGCCCCCATGTGACAAGTTCATTACTTCATGCATGCATGTGTGGACGCCTGGATGGGTTTGTGGTGTCTGGATGCTTGTGAGGAGACATGAATCGATTAATGCCTGGGTGAATCATTTAACAGGTGTGACATGTGTGTTTTCCCGGCTGCTTGGATGAAGCTATCTGGATGAAGGTATTCATGAGTCCCAGATGATGGGATGCATGGATGGATGTATGGTTGGATTGGTGTAGGAACGGGCGGGTGTATGGATGTGTGCATGTACGATTGTAGGTCAAAGCTGACACGTGTCAAAAACGAAGCGCGCGCGAAGCGTGCGACGGCCCCTCCAGCCCCAAGAGGTCCACGGCTTCCAGCACTTCCAAACTGAACACGCAACCTGGCCCTAAGCCCGAGATCCCCTCAGATAATCAAGGCCTCACTATACGCTTTGGGATGAACGCCAGCACACATCGCGGCATGCACTCACTGTGTTGAGCAAGCCCTGCGCGCTAGAGCTGAGGCCATTCGTGGGTACGCGCATGCGTGCGCCCGTGAATTCGTTGATGCGTGCAGCCGTGACCTCGTCAAGGGCTGGCGCTTGCTAGAACCTAAGCGCGCGCGCGAAGCGCGCGTGTGGTTCCAGTTTGTGTATAAGGCGTTCTCATACACAGTTGTCTCCCCTTCTGAATGTTTCTTTTTGGGTGGGTGGGTGGGAGGTAGGTTCGCCTCGTTTTGACCAGTGGCGACCCCGCCGCCGGCGTTCAATGTTGAACGTCGCCAGCGACGCAGAGTCGGTCGATGTTGAACGAGCTAACGTTTCGGAAACGCCCGATCGTTCAAGACTGAACGACCCCCGCGGTGTCAGGAGCCAACGCCGAAGTCGGCACGACACGAACCTGCCGTACACGCGGTTCTTGTCGTAGCCTTAAGTCGGGCCTGTCCTCCTGCAGGAGGAATGTCCAGAAGCAGTAAAAAATAGCCTGGAGGTGATTTGTGGACTATTTTGGACTGTCTTTGTGTATGATTTGACGATTTTTCACTCTTCGTCCAGAATGCGCCTGCAGGGGGACATGCCTGACCTAATCGTACAGTGCTGTTTTTAATACATGCTCCGCGTGCGGATAATGTATTAAAAGCGCAGGGATTGAGTATTAAAAACAACGATGAGCTCATGCATACCTTTGTTCATACATGAATCATGTGTTCAACAATCTCATATTTTTCAACATCCTATGTCTTAAAAACTGCCCAGCGCCGGTTTTAAGACATGCTCCGCGTGCGGACCATGTCTTAAAGATAAAGGGTTGATTCATAAACACAAGGATGAGTTCATGCATTAGTGTATTCATACATGAATCATGCATTCCAGTTCCCATATCTTAAAAAATCCAATGCTCCCGGTGGGGGCCGCTCGGGGGGGGGGGGTCGCGGCGCGCCCGTTCGCGCCCAGAGCGGTGGGGCCCCGCGGGCCGGGCGACGCCCTGTTGGGAGGCTCCTCCTCCTCCTCGTCGTCCTCCTCGTCGTCCTTGTCCTCCTCCTCCTCCTCCTCTTCCTCCTCCTCCTCCTCCTCCTCGACCTCCTCCTCCACCACCTCCTCCTCCTTCTCCTCTTCCTCCTCCCATCCTTTTCCTCCTTGTTTTCCTCCTCGTCCTTTTCCTCCTCGTCCACCTCCACCTCCTCCTCCTCCTCCACCTCCTCCCCCTCCTTCCCCTCCTCCTCCTCCTCCTCCTCCTCCTCTTCCTTCTCGTCGTGGATCTTTTTTCATAGCCCAATGACGGCAGGGATATACCACAGGCCCGTTCGCGGACATTTCCGGGACCTCCCATCCAGCATGGCTGTGTTGGGTGGGTCGGCGCGTCTCTTTTCCCAAGGCCCAACAGTCACACCGATGCAGCGGGCACGGCATTTGGGCCTCCCAAGTTGGCCTCGGGGGTTACACCACTGGCCCGTTCAAGGGCGGATATTCGGGCCTCCTCAGCTAGAACTGTGTGTGTGTGTGTGTGTGTGTGTGTGCGTGCGTGCGTGCGTGCGTGCGTGCGTGCGTGCGTGCGTGCGTGCTGTGTGTGTGTGTGTGTGTGTGTGTGTGTGTGTGTGTGTGTGTGTGTGTGTGTGTGTGTGTGTGGTGGTGGGGGTGGGGGTGGGGGTGGGGGTGGGCGGGCGGGGATTCTGTGGAATCGTGCGGTGTTGCAGGCATGGCATCTGGACCTTCCATGTGGGGAGCTGGCCCAGGCCTCGACTCGTCACGGGCCCGTTCGCGCTCAGGATGTCGGTGCTTCTCTGAGGTATAGACTTTGCGCGTGGGACGGTCGGCCCGCTGGCGTTCAACGCCCACTGGTCAGGGCCACGCTGCAGGGACTGCATGTCGGCCCTCGGTGGGAAGAGTCGCAAGGAGCAGGTGATGGCCCGTTCGTGGGCTGGCCTTCGGGACCTCTCCAGTGCAGTGGCTGTCTTGGTGCGGCAGGCGCGTCTCTTGCCAGAGTCCAGTGATCACCGCGATGTTGCAGGCATGGCATTTGGACCTGCCCCTCGAGAGAGCTGCCAGGGGGCACATCACGGGCCCAGCCGTGCCGGGATTTGTCGGGATCCTTGGAGTGGGATGTCTTTTGTGACACACCCTTCCTCTCGATTCCATGCAGGCGTCGGACATCTGGGCGCTGTTCACATTGCTTGACTGCACAGGAGCCTGTTTCTGGACGAGAAAACATCTCTCGGCGACCGCCACTCACGTGGCTGCCACTGGAGAAGCAGGCGGCGCAGTCGGTCGACTCAGACAGTGGAGTACCTGATCGTCTGCGGCGGCGGAGGCGGCGCTTCCGGAGGCGGCGGCGGCGGCGGTATGCTCGGAAGTTCGGGGGGGCTCTGGCACCTCTACGGAGGCAACGAACGGAGGAGATTCTTCGATCGGCTCCCTGGTGGCATATGGTGATGACAAGTGGTCGTTCTGTATTCACTGTTTTGCCGATCGGCGCGGGCCCTCGCACCCTCCCCCTCCCCCCCCCCTTGGAGAAGATCTTGGCTGTTTTTGGCGCCTGTTTCAAGCAGGTGGAGTCTCTCCCCCACGGGAACCCACTGCTGCAAGCAGTTGCACTCAGCAGCAGGGGTCCGGAGCAAGAACCCCCCCCCTTTTCGCTCAATGTCGAAACGCCGAGCAAGAAAACGTTCACATGACAAGGGTTATGATGTTCCAACCCACTTCAGGTTGGATCAGCAGCAACAGTTTCGAGCGCCTAGGAAATAGAGAACATTGAGTGTTTTCGCGTGCCGGACCCTGGGAGGCGACACTCCTTCGACATTGTTCCGGGTGCTCGAAATTAGTTCCGGGATGTGGTCCTGAAGTACGACTGGAAGGACATAAGTCGGGGGTGGACAGACCTCCTACCCCGACACGTCGATTAGTGAATTGTCCGTTTTCGGTTCTCGAGAGGGCGCCGCGGCCGTCATTTTCCAGGCTTGCGCCCTCCAGGTTTGGGCCCGAGGTCGTTTTCACTAAACCACGTTTTACTAAAGGGAGGTCTGCCCATCAAGGGTGCGGGGGGCAGTTCCAGGACTGCCCCCTGCGGCGCCGCAGGCGGTGGAGGCTCTTGCGATCTGCTGGGTGCCGCCTCCGGGCGGCGGGGGGGTGCCGGGACAGGGCCTCCGCGGCGGGCGCGGCGACAGCGGGCGGGGGGGCACGGCGCAGGCGGCGGCGGCGGCGCGGGCGGCGCTGGCAGCGACGCGAATGGCGGCGGCGGAGGCGTTGGCGTTGGCGTCGACGCACCCGGCGATTGCACCGCGGGGCCCACGGGTGGCCTTGCATCCTCGGGTGGTTTTGAGGGCCTGCGCGCTGTCTTCGTGCAAGGCGCGCCCCAGGGGCCTTGCAATCTTACGCCTCCACCCTTATCATTGATTTTGATTGCGAGGGGTTGTACTTTATCTCGGTTCTCCGTTGTTGGCGGCTTGGTCGCAATTTCTTCAATAATGTCCTGACCATTACTTTGCAGGCTCTCTCCCCCCGCCGTAGGGTGCCTGGCTAAACGTGGCGGACAGAGCGTGGAGTTCAAAAATGGTCGGGACATGCTCGGACATGGGTTGAACGAGGACGCATCCGTTCCGGAGCGTTGTGGGGCGCTCGCGGAGCGTCCTGGAACGCTCTGAGAAGGCCGCTGCGCCCGATACATCCTCCAAAGCCGCTGGGCCTCAGAGATTTCCGATTTATCCTCACCCGAATTTGTCCTCGTCCTGGCGTCGTCTTACATGCGAGGGCTCGCCGCCAGCCCATCCAGAAACAATGCCCAGGCGAGTTGACCTGATCAGGGATGTGCCCTGACACTGCGCGGCCCTCCCCTATAGACCCAGGAGGAAGGGGTCGGGGGAGGGGTCGAGACACCCTCCTATATAGCAAGCCGTCTAGCTCACTCCCACCCGCCCTCCCAACACATAGTAACACCCGAGCATCAGCATGTTTAGCAGTCGTCTTTGGATGGACAGCTACTGGGAACCAAACCCGAGCCCGTGTGCGCGACGCTGGGGCGAGGTGCGCCACGCGTGCCAGGCGCGCCACGCGCGCCAGGCCCCCTTGGGGCCCGAGCGTGCCAGGCTCTGGTGCTCCAGATGCGCCACGTGCCTCCGCGTGCGCCAGGTGTGCCGCATGCTCCAGCCGCTCCAGTTCCGCCACTTTCGGGGCACGTGCAGAGTGTGTCAGGTGCGCCTGTGCACGTGACAGCACACATCGAAAGACAAGTCGACCTTCACCACCCACGTCGAAAACCAATGCCCGTCATTGTGTCTGGTGGGCCTGCGCACAGCAGGCCATACGCCACCAGTTGACAGTGATCGCGGGGTGGCCGCGGAAGATCCAGGTTTCGCCGCGCAGGAGGCAATCAGCTGATACCCCCGCCGTCCCCGTCAAAAAACAACAAACTGCTCGCGGGCCTCACGAACATGACTCCAGGCTTTGCCCCAAAACGTTTTTTTTTTGTTGGGGGGGGGGGGCCAGGGATGGTCGGGAGGGACCCTCATGGAGTCCTCACTGTTCTTGGTTGGCTGCCGGTCGCTTGGGGGAGGGTGCTTCTATTAGTAGGGAGCAGTAGTGGAGTCCCCCTCTTCACCCGCACGCCGTCTCGCTCATGTCCACCCGCCCCCCAACACATAAGTAACACCCGAGGGAGTCTCAGCATATTGATTTTCGCCACGCATGCAATGTGCTCCACGGGTTCCAGGTGCACCGCGCACCCTGGAGGCCCAAGCGAGCCAAGTGCGCCAGGTGCGGCACGTGCTCCACGTTCAAGCCATATGCTGTCATCCCCGCCGTCCGCTTCAAAAACAAATGCAAAATGGTCGCATGCTCCAAATGTGGAGGCGAAGTGCATTATGTGCTGTTTTTTTGACAGTGATGGTTGGCCTGCGCGCGGCGGGCAATATGACGGCACCCTCGCCGTCCGTGTCAAAAACCAATGCAAAGTGGTCGCGGGGCGCCCGCGCATGCTCCAAATGTGTAGGCGAACTGCATTCTGTGCAGGGTTTTGACAGGGCCTGCGCCCAGCGAGCAAAATGACGGCACCCCCGCCGTCCGTGTCAAGAACCAATGCAGAGTGGTCGCGGGAGCGTGCTCCAGATGTAGAGGCAACGTGCATTCTGTTGAGTTTTTTGGCAAGGGTGATTGGCCTGCGCGCAGCGAGCAATGTGACGGTACCCCGGCCGTCCGTGTCAATAACCAATGCAAAACGGTCGCGGGGCGCCTGCGCATGCTCCAGATTTGGAGGCGAAGTGTATTGCGTGTGTGTGTGTGTGTGTGTGTGTGTGTGTGTGTTTGTGTGTGTGTGTGTGTGTGTGTGTGTGTGTGTGTGTGTGTGTGTGTGTGTTTGTGTGTATTTTTTGGGGGCAGAGATGGATGGCTTGCGCGCAGCGCACAATATGACTGCACCCCCGCCGTCCGTGTCAAGAGCCACTGCAAAGTGGTCGCGGGGCACCCGCGCATGCTCCAGATTTGGATGCAAGGTGTACTATTCAGAATTGTTCTTTGACAAGGATAGTGGGTGGGGGGCATGTCTGAGGGTGGCGGTGGGGGGGGGCATGTCTCGGGTTGGCCTACAGTGGGGTGGGGGAGGGAGGGGGTGTCTGTTCACGAACAGCAGTTGGAGGCCCCTTCCCGCAAGGGGTTGGAGGGAAGATGGAAGAGGAAGCGATCTACACCGATCGCGCCTGAAGGGAGTCTCAAGCCAGCTTCAGTCGGTCGGGACCTGCGAGTGCTCGCCACGCCGAGCGGGGCTGCCCGAGGTGGCGCCCGCGCCCGCGGCGACGGCGCCGCCCCTGGCAGCGCCCCCGCCTGGAGCGACTCGGGCGCTGTGGGGCGCACCAAATCATCTGGGCCCTGGGTGGCCCCTGCTCGCTCCGCGGCCTCCTCCTCCTCCTCCTCCTCCTCCTCCCTCCTCCCTCCCTCCCTCCCTTCCTCCCTCCTCCCTCCCTCCCTCCCTCCCTCCCTCCCTCCCTCCCTCCCTCCCTCCTCCTCCTTCGCCTCCTCCTCCTCCTCCTCCTCCTTCTCCTCCTCCTTCTCCTCCTCCTCCTCCTCCTCCATGGGTCCCCCCTGCAACCCGTCCACTCGTCGCCGAGTGGGGCATGGTGCCCCTACCGCTCCCTTCCCCTCGTTTTCGCCCCTTTGGGGCCTCCCGGGTTGCCCTCGTCGCCACTGTTGAATTCGCTCCTGAGAAGTTTTGGTCAGAACGCACCGCGGGAGAGGTCCTGGGATTAGCGGTAATTATTGGTGTTTTTTTGGTTTCCCAGTTATGTTTCATTCCAGAGATCTTAGGATCCAACCCCTGGAAGGCTAAGTGCAGCATGCACGCTGGAATGTGCGTGGTTGAAAACTGGTCGAACCCCCCGCCGAATCCCTTGTAGTCCAGCTTTATGCGGCTTGATCATAGGACCCGGTAGCTTTTAATCTTTCTTACGGTGGCCTCCCAGGAAATGCCACCCAAGAAATCACTCCAGCAATGATGCGACCCGGGCGATCCTCATCGGCGTATGCGAGGCTCGGCAGGGAACTTCAGCATCAGCCAGAATTGTGCACCCACCCCCTGCACTCTCCCCCCCTCGCCGCTCTTCCGTCCTTCCCCCGCTCGCTCCCTCCGCCTCCCCCTCCCTGCCCCCCTCTCCGTCCCCCGTCCCCCTCCGGCCCCGCCCCCTCTCCCGCCCCCGCCGCTCGCCCCCGCACTCCGAGCCTCTCTCTCTGCGCCTCCGCGCGCGGCCACGGCCGCTCGCCTTCTGCTGGCTGGCGTGGCGCTCATGTGTACAGTCGTGCCGCCACGCACGGGGCGGGATTCGGCTCGCTTTGGGGAGCTGTCGCCCCCGAAGGAAAAAGCGTTCTCCCCACCTCCCGGGGGCGCCCAACTGCGCACCCCCGCGCGCAGCGCGGAGCGCGAACCACTTCGCGCCCTCGCGCCGCCCCCCCTCAGGGGAGAAGAGGAGGACGAGAGGGACTCGGAACCGAACCGCGAAGCGCGAGGCGCGACGGGCGAAGCGCGAATCACTTCGCGCCCTCGGGGGCGCCCTTGCTTCCGGGCGCTCGCCCACGATTCTGCCAGCACACGTGCTCGCCGAGTACGACTGCTCCTCCGCAGGCTCGACCCCGCCGCAGGCGGCTCCGCAGCGGGCGCCCACATGGCGGAGTCGAGCCTGCGCTTGCCGCGGGCTCGGGGCGCGCGGCCCCGTCGCCACGGGCGCG